ACCAGTAAGCTCCCAGACCAGACACCATGGTTCACTTTACAGCTGAGGAGAAGGATATCATCACAAGCCCATGGGGCAAGGTGCATGTGGAAGAGTTGGGGCAGATACATTCTCAGGAACATTTCCTCTGCCTCTGCCATCATGAGAAACTCCAAGTGAAATTTCGTGGTAAGAAGATACTGACTTCCTTCAGAGAACCTACAAGGAACCTGGATGATCTCAAGGCCACTTTTGTCCAATTGAGTGAGCTACACTGTGATATGCTACAGGTAGATCCTGAGACCTTCAGGGTGAATCCAGGAGATGCTCACATCCTCTTGCTTTGAACCTTGTGACAGCTCAGACAACTGAGCACCGATCTGACTGCAGCCAAGGATGGCTGTGGGAAGGGGCATATTGGAAACATTGGCATTGAGGGGACAGAACTAAAACCAAAGGGCCTAAGGAGTGCTTCTCAAAATCTGGAGGGACTTCTTTGAACTCTTATTGGCTTTTAGAAGAGACTTATACAGAGGTGAGGAAAAGCGACTATGAGTAAGTGCAATGGTCTGGAAAGAACTTGAACTTTACTTTTTATGTTTCATTTTTCCCTCCTGGAGGCAGAAAAAAACAAGGCCAAGGAGAAATAACTATGCAGGCTTATGTTGGCTCCATATAAAGAAGGAACCTAGGGTTCACGAATATATTGTTAAGGTTATTCATATATTGGCTGGATATTTGTACAAAATTGTTCCAGAGACCCATTTCAACCTTACATCCTACAAATCCTGAAATGGGGCAGAGTGTCCCTGAGGGAGGGAAATGGCAAGAACATGGAGCTTGGAGTGCGTATGGAAAGAAAGCTGTGAATTTTTGTTTTTCAGCCCACAAAACACGAGGTTGGTGGTGGTGAGAAGAAAGAAAAAGTGAAATCATGGTCACGTATTAGTCTTGTAGGGAGAACACACTTGTATTTAGTGACCGAGCAAGATGCCAGGCATGAGGGAAATTGACATCGGCGTGGTTCTGAATGGGAGTTGGGTGGCCAGGTACCTGGAGGCCCACCTGGGACTCTGTTCATTGTATGCATTTATTACCTCTTGCCGCCTCCACAGCTCCCGGGAAACATGCTTGTGACTGTTTTGCCAGACCATTTTGGCGAGGAATTCACCCTCCAGGTGCAGGCTGCCTGTCAGAAGATGGTGACTAGAGTGGCTAACGCCCTGGTCCACAGAGATCCAGTAGTGTAGAGTCAGCAGGAACAGCTTTATTTTCAAACAATAGCAATGGCAGTGGTAGTGTTAATAACAGTAGTAATAATAATAATGGTAATAATAGTGCTCTGCTAAAGAATTCTTCAGTAATTGTCTTCAGTTCTACTTTTCCGATTGCTGTTAAACTTGTGAGAACCCCAGGAATTATATGTTGAACTGTAAGTGTGAGTGTGTGTATGTGTGTGTGTATGTGTGTGAGTGCACAATTTCCCCATTCAATTTTTGTATGAAGTAAAGATTTTGGCAAGAAAATAAAATAAAAAAAAAAAAAACAGGGCAACGAAAGGAATGTATGCCTGGGACATACACCTGGGGAGAACATACACTTGGGGGCTCTTCAGGTTAAAGCTGAAGACACATGCGGAGGGGCTCTGATGAAAGAGGATTGGTGTCATGGGACAAGAACTACTCTGAACCAGACAATTATATGGGCCTGAGTGAAGACTCCAGTGAAGACCAAGGATCTGGATGGCCGTCGAGTTTCAGCGTGGGGATTCTTCGTTGGAAAATTAACCCAGATCTTAAAAGGTCAAGGTCCAGGCAAGGACTATAATTCCATTCTCCTGATAAGAAAGAAGTGTTTTCTAAAAGCAGCTGGTTTGTCACAAGCCCTTTTGAGGATAGATTAAGGATGGGAGGGGTTGGAAGTCTGAACAGCGGATGACTCTTTGAAATCAACTCCAAAGAGCTGGCCTTGGGCTTTATGGAAGAACTTTGTGGTTTAAGTGGTCAGAGCTACGGAGGAATGGTACATTGCTTACATGCCAACAGGAGAGACCATGTCCCTGGGGCAGATTTGCTGCAATGTTTCAGAGAAGGGACAGCCCTCTGACGTGCTCAGAGAGGAGGGGATTTAGGTGGGGAAGAGGCTGAGAAGGCAGCTCAGTGCAGCACATGAGCTCTGCTAAATCAAGAGGAAAAGGAAAGAAATTGCATAGAGCAGTTGGGGAGGATAGATCACAGGATTTTTTGTTGGGCTGGAAGTTAATTCGGGGTTATAAGCAAGGCTGTAATGTAATAAACAGGACAGTTAGAAGATTAGCCCTGCTGTGGGTGCTGAGTAGATTAGCGATCATAGTGATGCCACTTTTACAAATCTCTACTGGTTTCCCATGCCTTAGGGTAAAATACCCGCTCTACCCTCATGTGCCCTGGCCAATCTCTCCAACTCTGCTCCCTCCCACTCTTAACATCTCTCTCGCAGACTTTATAACGCCTTTCTCTAAAGGAAATGTCAAGTTTGTTTTTTTCTTTCTTTCTTTTTCCTTTTCTCTCCAGCCCCTGAGTTTTGCACCTGCCCTTGCCTGCTTCTGGGAACTCGTTTTGCCAAACGACTTATGCCTGACTCCATCTTGTCATTAAAGTCCCTCTTCAAATGTAACTTCCTTTAGGACCTCTATCCTTATATTATGTTTCTCTAGTCGCTTCCTACTATGTCGTCAGATGCATTTTTTTTCTTGTCATATAACACCCATCTGAAATTCTCTTCTTCATTGATTTAATTATTAGTGTCAGTCTCCTCTGCCCCCTAGAATGTGAGCTTGATGACACTATATACACTGTTTTGTTTTTCCAAGATTCCCAGTTTTTAGAATGATGGATGGCATGATTGGCTTCAGTAGATATTTGCTTTTTATTTTTTTTTTTTACTTTTTTATTTTTAGATTTATTTATTTGAGAGGGGGAGAGAGAAAGAGAGAGCATGAGCCCGGGAGGAGGGGCAGCGGAAGAGGGAGAAGCAGGCTTCCTGCAGAGCAGGGAGCCCGACACGGGGCTCCATCCCAGGACCCTGAGATCATGACCTGAGCTGAAGGCAGACACTCAATTGACTGAGCCACCCAGGTGCCCCGATATTTTAAATATGTGATGAATGACTGTAAAACTGTTAGATGACCATGACGATGAGCTAACACTGATGTGATAAGCCTCCAGACAACAGTGGGAACAGTGAGCATGGAAGTCAAGTAAAAGTGTGGAACAGCCATGAAGGAGAGAAATCAAAAAGTCTTGGGAAGTAATTGTCTAGATAAGATGAGAGAAAAGCAGGAGTTAGAGGTAATTGCCAGAATCACCATCTGGTTTGCTGGGAAGATGGGAGGCTGTTTGCCAACATTCAGAGTTGCAAATGTCCCTGAGTCTGAGGGGTTGCAGTGTGTATGCACCTGGGAGACAAGCACCAGGGCCATCAGAGAGTGTGGACGCTGAGTCGTTCCCTCAGACCACGCCCACGGGGGAGGGGGGCTGGGATTCCTGACTGTGGTCAGAGTTTCCTCGCTTTTCTTTCATTTCATTGACTTTTTCTCTTGAAAAAGCCTTTTTGGGATTGATTCACACTTTTTTTTTTTTTATATCTCCGTACCAAAGTATTCACATCATCACAGCTTGGGACTCAGAGCTCACTGATCATCCATCAAGTCTGTCATGGTAAACTAGCTCCTGGCACCTTAGCAATTCTTATCCACATTTTATTTTATTTGTTTTTCTACATTTTATTATTTTGATCATTTTGCTACTTTTAAAAGATATTTTTCAATGACATTTCTCAAATGCTGCAATTCAATTAATCTTTATGAATGACACAGGTGGAGGTAATAAAAACTGCATCTCAGAAGGCACCACAGTAAACTGCCAAGCATAGTAATGGCAGAACAATCCACATTTTAAATATAAGTTTTTTTCCAAGGTGAATTGATAAAAGTTCTCACTATCTCAAATGATTTCTTTTCTAATAGCAGAAATTCAACCCTAATATATTGAGTTGAATTCTTTAAATTTTAGAGTACCTTTGTAAATACACATGGAGATTATTTCTTTTTTTTTTTTTTTTTAGTGAGATTGGTCTCAGGGAGAAACAAACAAACTCTGAGAGAAAAAAATAAAATAAAATAAGTCATTCCCTCTCTCCCCGGAAGTGTGACTTATTTAGAACAATGAATGCTTGTTTGAGATGCATGAGACCAAAGTACCTGAGGTGACAGGGACAGTAGTGTGTGGAATACTGTCAGTGAAGATTGCCTCTGCCTCATTAGATATGAGGAATAGTTAAGCACAACAAGGAAGTGTGGATCCAGCAAATGCCAAAGACAACTGCCTTAATCAATCATTATTGCCACAGAGTCTCATATTCTCTCCATTGAACATGTAATTTTTCCCAGTACTCAATTGTGCATTTTCTGACACAAATGAGTGGATACATGGTATTGGCCAGTTCTATCTTAATAGAACTCAACCACAATCATGTAATACTAGTTCTCTTAATTATCTAGTTTTTACCTGTCCTGTTTCTGAACTGATGCTAGATTGGAGTCTTTTCTTCTTATAAGAACTATAAAAGTATAAGCCCCGTTTAAGTTTTAGAAAAAATGGTGACCAAGAAAAGCTGTGGTTTCTTTTATACCCAAGGTGAAAAACTGAATGATATCTTGTAAACACCTGACACATTGCCCAACAGATTTCTAATTCTTACCCCTCTTAATTCTAGTCATGCCTCATGGTCAGCCTACAAGGTCACCTCAAGGATAATGGGGTGGGGAGCTTGAGATAGGAAATGCCTAGTAGACGGTGGGGAAAGGACAGCAGAACCCCCTGATAGAGCCACTGAATGCTATCAGAGACCCAGATGTCCATCCTGCTGACCCTCCCTTATCCAAACCCCACCCATGGTGGTGACAACCTACCCTTGACCAATGGTCTCATTTCATTGGGCGAAGTGAGGGCCTGGAAACTAGAAATGAGGAATAAAAGGCCACATAGAGAAGTAGCAACACAGACTCGCTTCTGGCACATTACTGGTCACCAGTAAGCTCCCAGACACCATGGTGCATTTTACTGCTGAGGAGAAGGTTGCTGTTGTTAGCCTGTGGGCCAGGGTGAACGTGGAGTTGGTTGGAGGCGAGGTCCTGGGAAGGTAGGCCCTGGAGGGGGGCAGAAAGGCAGAAAGTATTCCTGAAGGGGTATTGGTCGGTTTTCTTACCTACTTTGATTTCCCATCTCATCTGTGACTGTGATCATCCCATAGGCTCCTGGTTGTTTATCCATGGACCCAGAGGTTCTTTGACAGTTTTGGCAACTTGTCCTCTGAGTCTGCAATAATGGGCAACCCCAAAGTCAAGGCCCATGGCAAGAAGGTGCTGACCTCCTTTGGACATGCTGTTAAACATATGGATGACCTCAAGGACACCTTTGCTGAGCTGAGTGAGCTGCACTGTGACAAGCTGCACGTGGATCCTGAGAACTTCAAGGTGAGTTCTGGGTATGCCTGTGCTTTGTCTTTCATCCTAGATATTTGCAGTGGTGGATATGTTAGAAAACACAGGTCGTTAAGTCTGATCCCATAAAAGCATTTTTTGGGACATTATATTTCAAGGAAGGGCTTGCTTTTGGTAGTTAGGTTGTTCCAAAGGTCATAGATAAGACCGAGTAGGGTAATTACTATGACCAGAGGAAGCCACTAGCTGTCTTACATTTCTGAAAAAATACATGTGTGAAGAACACTGGCCAAAACTGAGTTAAATGTTTTTGGCTGGGAGAATACAATTATAGCAAGAACATCTTACTTTTGGTAACTGAAATTTTCTCTAAAAATGATGAATACATTTCTCCATGATTCTTGAGTTTAGAACCAGGACTAAGCAAGACAATATAAGAGCAATCTTTTCAATGGACAATCTGACCCCCCACCCCCTTAGCAGTGATGAAATGCTCTTGTATACATGGCTCAAGATTCTTTGTCATGTGAGTGTACAGACAATTCGAATGAATGTACTATCTGGGGACTTAAACTATATATATTAAGGCCCCTTACAGTCCTATAATCCTATTTTCAAAAAAGACTGAGTCTCTAGAAAAGAGAAGCCATTCATGGCAATGTTTTGGGCTCAGAAGTTGCCAGGGCAAATGAGAGAAGGATAGAACACAATGGGAGGTACAGGGCTGGGAGTCATATTGATGCCAATGTCCAGCATATTATGGCACACTTTTGTGGGAGCATGGCCCTGAAAGTTGCTCAATCTCTTATCAGGAAGAAAATTGATGTGTCCAGCTTGAAACTTTCTGTTTACTAGACACTGTTTTCTTTTTATCCTACTCTTTCCCCAGCTTCTAGGCAACATGATATCGATTGTCTTGGCAACCCACTTCAGCAAGGAGTTTACCCCCCACATGCAGGCTGCTTGGCAGAAGCTGACAGCTGCCGTGGCAAATGCTCTGGCCCACAAGTACCACTGAGGTGCTGGTCCAACTGTGTTGGTGTTTACCAGAGGGACCTGAGTTCCAAGAGTCCATCTCCTGAAGACGGACACAGTGCCCTGCCTCCAGACCCAACTGCTATATGATAAAAATAAAATAAAAATTGTGCTCTGTAATGAATATCCTTGTCTTCTCTCTCTGTCTTTATCTTTTATGTTGATTCAGCTAAAAGAAAGCACTTCTTTAGGGAAGGGGGTTATTTGGGGAGGATAGAGAAGAGACTCATAAGATTCTGCAAGATAAGAGAGGCTTCAGGGGCAGTTACTTCTAGGAAGGGAAAATAGACTCTGGAACTGATTAGTGTCTTCAGAACAAGGGAGCAGATGGAGGTACTCTTGGGAAATGCAAGAAGATTGATAGAGTGAGTAGGGGTACGTTAGAACTCCAAGGAGGGGACCTGTCTAGGCTGCTATTTTTATAATCTCAGAGCTTTTTGATGCTATATTTCACTTATATTAAATAATATAAAAAAAATGTTTTTATCAGCTGTAATATAGTAGAGATGGAACTTCCAAGAGACCTAGGCAAGGGCCATGCTTTAAACTTTCCCTAGTGTTTTCATTGGTATTAATGGAGGAACTATCCCTAAAGCATAAGAACTAACTGCCTTGGTTTGAATCTGTACCTTATCTGTTAGCTCTGTGACCTGTAACATATTTCCGATTTCATTAAGCCTTCTGTGGAGATAAAAGGCCATTTATGTGGGAAAATGACAAATTTAGGAATTAGCATGTTGGGTCTAAGTGACAGAGGAGAAATTGGCCCCTTAAAAACAGTGCAGTGGGGACGCCTGGGTGGCTCAGTCGGTTAAGCATCTGCATTTGGCTCAGGTCAGGATCGCAGGGTCCTGAGATACAGTCCTGCATCAGCTCCTTGCTCAGTGGGGAGCCTGCTTCTCCCTCTGCCTGCCCCTTCCCCTGCTTGTGCTCTCTCTCTCTCTGACAGATAAATAAATAAAACCTAAAAAAAAAAAAAAAAAAAAAAAAAGGCAGTGCAGTGATATAGAATTAGGGACACTACTGCCCGGAAAAGAAGCTATTATTATAAGCAAAGTACCAGTGAAATTTCTTGCACACAAAAGTAACATGGTGAATAGGGAATTTTAGGGAAATGGATCCATGTGTGGGTATAGAACTGACAAGGCAGGATCTAACTTGGATCTAGCCATAGGAATGTGCTGTGATTATAATGAAGGCAAAGGACTGAACTTCACAGAAGCAATGAAACTAAGAACAACTCAAGTAAGGGGCCATTGTGGCCAAGATCCCACAGGACTTGGAATGAAGTGCAGTAGAGAGTGGTGAAGTCACCAATGACAGCCGGGTTTCCTGTCTGGTGAATGAAAAGAGGAAAGTCTATTCTCAGGACAGAAAATGTCTAGAAGTCTCTTGTTTGGAGCTGGCAATTGAGCACGTTCAGTTTTGTAGCCATTACTTCAAATTCTGTACCCAAGTCCCTGGCATTTCAGAAGTGAAAAGCCAGGGCTTTGGGATTAGCAGTAAAAGATTAAATCCAGCCCTATCACCTTGAAAAGTTTGGTTAACATTTTCCAGCATGAATTTCCTTGTTTGTAAAATGGAATAAACATTCCAACCTCGCAAGCAGGTTCCAAGGTTTTAAGGAGATCTCTGTAAAGTGCTTTGGCTGTCATTATTGAGAAAGTAGAGGTAGCAGTTTATACAATACACTCTGATCTGTTCCTCTGTGCCCTGTTCCATTGTGTTTTCTTGACCTGACTGTATTCTTTATGAGCTCCAGACCCGTATATCTAACTATTTGTTTGATGGTCCATATCTGATTGCTCATGAGTGCATCAAATACAATATGTCCAAAAAAAAAAAAAACAACAACAAAAACAACAAAAACCCTCCAACTGTTTCCTAATCTATTCCTGCTAATCTGTTCCCCATCTAGGGACTAATGCATCATCCATTGCTTGAGCCTGAAAATAGAGATGGCATTTTTACCACCACACCCCAACTATAATATCATCCTATTTGTCTTTCATTTATTTTACCCCTTAAACCCATTTATATATGGAAGCCAGATAATTTTTTAAAAAATACAAATCAAATCATGTCACCCACATCCTTGAAGTTTTCAATAGTTTTTCTTGGCTTTCAGGTTAAAGACAGATATTCTGTAACATAGTTTTAAGATCATCCATGGCTCCTCTGCACCTTCCTATCATATAACACTTCCCCTTGTGATATTGTCCTATTTTTTGCATATAAATCATATACATCGAATCATTGTCTCTGGTTACTTTATTTATTTATTTTTTTTAGAGAGACTGAGAGAGAGTGCCTGTGCATGCAGGTGGACCAGCTGCAGGGGAGGGGGTGGGGGGAGGGAGAGAGAGAATCCCAAGGAGGCTCCATGCTCAGCACAGAGCCCACCATGAGGCTAGATCTCACAACCATCATGAGCTGAGCCGAAACCAGGAGTTGGGCACTTAACTGAATGAGCCACCCAGGAACACCTCTGGTTACTTTTAATTGACATTATGTTGTACAATTCATCTGTATTTCTGCAAGTGAAGCAGTAGTTGATTCTTTTCATTATTGTGTAATATTTCATTCTTTCTCTATATCATGATTTATCTATTCCACTGAATGAGGAACATTTAAGTGGCTAGCAGTTTAGAATCATCATGCATACTGATGTTACAGCCTTTGGACTCACATAAGCATGCATTTCTGCATTTCTGGAAGAATAATTGCCAGCTCATAGGTTTTGCATATATTCTGCTGTAGTGGCTACTGCCAAATATTTCCTAAAGCAGTTATACCATTTTACACTGTCACCAGCAGAGCCTAAGAGTTTTGTTGAGCTACATCCTCACTAAATTTTGAAATTGCTTCTCTCTCTCCTCCTCTTCTTTATATTCTTTGCCTTCTGACTTCCATCTCAGTCCATTCTCTTCCTTTCTGTTGGTTAATCTCTCTTACCCTCCCTCCCTCCCACCTTCCCTCCTTCCATCTAGCTGTGCTAGAGGGTATGTATCTGTAGGTCAATGTAATATTATTTTGAATTCAGAAAAGACTAAAATTCCCTTTGAACCTTCATTTCTAGATCTAACTCTACTTTTTTGCTGAGGACACAACTGGAAATTTCTGCACCTGCATTTTACCAGAACCCCTGTCAGACTGGTTGAATAAGGTAAATCTTCATTGCAAATCCTCTGCATTCTTTCTTTAGTCATATCATAGTTTCAAATCATGTTATAGGTTTCTGATATTTTTTTCTTTATCTCTCATTGTTTCCATTAAATCCATGCTCCCCAGATCTATGTTAGTAGCTGGTAGAGAAACAATATTCATTACTTTCATTCTTCCAATGGACATTTATTTCAGTGAAAGAATGGAAAGAAAGAGTTTTGTTACTAGAAGTATTTATCCAAAGAAGGAGAAAGAAAGCAAGTTAAAAGTATGTTAAGCATTTATTCATTCCAACCACTTACAAATATCTCTAGAGACAAAGAGAAGTACCACATAGAGTCAACTTGATAACATTTCTGTTCTCTAGGCCTTAGTTTTCTGATCTATGAAGTGAAAGAACTAGATGAGTTAAACTCTGAGAAACATTCCACAATATCAGACTACAGCATTTGCACATGAATGAGAGTGGTAGTATCTTTATGGAAGCCACTACTGAAGGGGATGAATTGAGGAGGGAGAAAGCACGGATTCTGAGTCAAGACACACAACACCTAGAACACCACCCTCAGGGCAACTGAAGGGAACTGAGGAATGGGGATGCAACCTACATTCGCACAAACAAATAAGCTTCTGCTGTGTCGTTGGGCCAATCTGCTCACAGCCCCAGGGAGGATAAGATCAGGGCTGGGCATAAAAGGAAGAGCAGGGCCAGCAGCTGCTTATACTTGCTTCTGACACAACCGTGTTCACTAGCGACCACAAACAGACACCATGGTGCATCTGACTGCTGAGGAGAAGTCTGCCGTCACCTCCCTGTGGAGCAAGGTGAACGTGGATGAAGTTGGTGGTGAGGCCCTGGGCAGGTTGGTATCCAGGTGGCAAGGCAGGCTTACAGAGAGTGAATGGAAGCTGGGCAGGTGGAAATGGCTCAGTCCCCTGGGTTTCTGACAGGCTCTGACTCCCCTGTCCTCTGTCCTCAGGCTGCTGGTTGTCTACCCCTGGACTCAGAGGTTCTTTGACTCCTTTGGGGACCTGTCCTCTCCTAATGCTATTATGAGCAACCCCAAGGTCAAGGCCCATGGCAAGAAGGTGCTGAATTCCTTTAGTGATGGCCTGAAGAATCTGGACAACCTCAAGGGCACCTTTGCTAAGCTCAGTGAGCTGCACTGTGACCAGCTGCATGTGGATCCTGAGAACTTCAAGGTGAGTCTGGGATATGCTCCGTTTTTTTCTTTTCACTTTCTAGTCTTTCACTCTGATTCTTTTCCCTACCTGTTCTCTCCCCACCTTCCTTTTTACCTTAGTATATACCATCATTGAATGCTTTTCAAAATTTACATAATTTCATATGTTTTCTTTCAGTATTCCATATTGTTTCCTTTCTCACAACCTCTTTTTTTTCATCAAGCTCTTCACTTAATTACTTATCTTTTGCCCCTCTCTTCCCGCCCCCAACTTTTTCCTCCACTTGATACCCAAATTATGCACACTAGCTCTCATCTTCTCCTTCTGCACTTGGAAAAGTCTTTCTGTCTCTCCATATGGAGATTATAAGGGCTCCTCAAAGAGTTGTCACTCCAGAGACTACAAATCATCTCAAAATTATAGAATAATTGGGCATGTGATGTGATGAGCATAGGGTGTTATATGCAACTCATGAATCATTGAAAATTACATCAAAAACTAATGATGTATTATATGTTGGCTAACTGAATTCAAATTAAAAAAAGAAAAATTGCATTTTTATAGTCAAGACTCAGTGGAAAAGGAAAGGAAAGGAAAGGAAAGGAAAAGAAATACCTGAGGATGCTAGACCAGAAGTAGAAGTAGTGCAGCAATAGTTAACTAAAAGACAGCCCAGCATCATACTAATTAATTAAGTATATATACATATATATATAATAAAAATATACAGTATACATACATATATATTTACTCATTTATGCTGATGGAGATAACCTGAAGATCAGTTTGGGCTGGAGTGTGGGCAGAAAAAAATAAATGATTGTTGGCTCAGTTTCTCAGAAGCCCAGCTTGATTTCTGTCTTAATCATGTATACATATCTATCTCTGTCTTCCCCACAGCTCCTGGGCAACGTGCTGGTGTGTGTGCTGGCTCACCACTTTGGCAAAGAATTCACCCCTCAGGTGCAGGCTGCCTATCAGAAGGTGGTGGCTGGTGTGGCCAATGCCCTGGCTCACAAATACCATTGAGATCCTGGCCTGTTTCCTGCTGACCACTGGAAGACCCTGTTTCCCTAAATTCTATCATCTGAACTGGGGGAAATAATGTCCACCACCAAGGGTATGGTTTCTGCCTAATAAAGAACCTTCAGCTCAACTTCCTGATTCATTTCACTTATTTTATTTTTTTTTGTCTGGGGGTATGGTACATCCCTGAGGGTCTACAGATAGGAAGCTCTTGTGTCCTATTCAAAGAGGTCAAGGAAATGAGAAGAGGAAAGGGACCACACATATCACTAGTGGATGACACTTCTCCCTCCAAAGCATAGGCACGGTCAAGAAGGTTTTAAATATATAGAGAATACTGGCATTACAGGGGCTCTATGGAAGACATGCAACCTAAGACACAGCCCTCAGCCTAATGCTTTGACCTATTTCCTACAATTAGTGAAAAATACGGTGCTCAAATAGAGACACAATGAATGATCAAGACACTGTTGTGTTTCCTTTTTCCCTACTTCCTTGCCTGCAGTGTAGCCTACCATAGCATGCTCCTTCAAGTGGGCCTACCCTAAGGGATAACCTCCCTCTTTTACTTGCCCCAAACATGTCCATAAATAATTCCTTTGCCCACCCTCCCATTTCAGACAAACTGCATGCTTGCTTATCACTTGTGATGCCTTTGCACCCTGGCCTCAATGCACTTTCCAATATTGCCTAAGAAAATTTTTCCAAACCCTTCCCCTCTTCCTATTTTTCACATTTCTTCTTATCCCTCACACTCACACTATGCTATATAAACATTTCTTCCTATTTTGTACTGTCACACATGATTACCGTGCCTTGTGACTTTCATTCATAGGCAAGAAGGGAATATTTATTAATTGAAGTGGTCGGTGACTGACTGAATGAATTAATGATTATTCCCTGTCATAGAACTGCTGGAACTAGAGGACAGTCTGAACCAGGGACCCCTGGAGAGAGGTGTTTTGGTGTCAATGCCCCAGGATAGGATGAGGAAAGGGAAACACTGATCAGACATTTGCTTTCTGTTCAGAGCCTGCTGGACATCTGGCCTTATGAACAAAATGCTTTGTATATTTGGAAAGGGGCCCAAACTGAAGCCAAGACTCTGCTCCTGGGATACACAGTTTCAAATTTAACTTGGGAAAAATTGCCCCTTTGCTTTTCATAAATCAACACCCTGGCCCACATAGTGACAAAATCTAATTCTGAATGACGATCTGAGGTCAATGGAGGAAATATTTGCATGGTGATTATAGACTGAGACATTAATTGTTCTGTAATAATTAGCACAATCTTTATCAATCTCATAGCTAGATTGGCTTTATTGTTTTTCATACCGAAATATGACTTTTAAAAAATGTATATCCATCATTTCTCTGAGTTCTGCTCTTATTGGGATATTTTTATTTTATTTAATTTTATTAAATTAATTTAATTTTTGAATGGATGCTAAACTGAGGTAACCAAGAGATTGTGCATCTGGGAGAACTAACTGTGCCTGACCCAGGAAAATAGGGATTATGTTCAGAAATTTCAAAATGATGAATGGAATCTAAAACTAAACACTACTGTATGTACAAAAGTGTTCTAGTTGAGTGTCATTTTTTTAAGCAAATAAAACCACATATTTCTGGATGATGATCATGAATCTCTTGATCCTCATCCTCTTAATTATACTCAGACCAGGTCCATTCTGGTTCAAAACATCAAAGTATGCAAATTTCACAAGCTGGAAAAAAGGGAAAAAATGTCTTTCTGTCTCTTTCTTGGGGATTTAGGGTGTGTGTATATGTGTGTGCATGAACATGTGTGTGTTTAGTGCTCACTGGGGCTGGGATCAATGTAAAGCAGACATCCTGTGCTGCCTTTTACAGGGTAGAAGTAAGTTTAAAATGGTAAAGATGTCAGTGGGTCAAGAAGCTTTCTAGAATCTTTGAATGTTGATCTGGATGTGAGGCTGAGGCTCAGAACATAATCACATTTATCAGTTTATTCTTATTTTCATCTGATATGTCTGAGCTTTTCATGTCTTATTACAACTTGCAGCCTTGTCCCTGAAGGGTAATGGGTAAGAAAAGGAGAAGTCTGTCTCCCTCTACAGTCATGCTAAGTAGCAATGGTGATGGGAGAGAGAACAGCAACTCCTCTTCTGAAGCCAGGAACAAGGTGGCTGCAGCAATTGCCAGTACAAAAGCTCAGCCCAAGTCATTCATGGCAAAGAAAGCTGAAGGAAGAAGAGACAAAAAAACTTAGGAGAACCCTTTCTGAATACAGGAAATGGTAGGGGAAGTCCAAGTAGATGCTAATTTCTGTCAGTCAAGATGGCAAAGCTGGGGCCTTGACAATTGGGCTCCTGACAGGAAAGTATAAACATATTCAATACTGTTATTTACTAAGGCCTGTGAATTTCTCATGACAGACAGTCCCAGCAAAACACATGTCCAAACTTCCCTTGAACCTCCCTTCACACACTTATACCTGAACTCTGACATTGGGGGTGTGAAATAGAGTCTTGAGAACAGTCTGAATGTAAAACAATGAAGTTTTAAATTTAGTAAAATGAAACTCAAAGCCTATAGCTCAATGTGTGTGTGTGTGTGTGTGTATTTATTTAAACATTTAAAACACTGAAAGGTCCCCTTTTCCTGGAAGTCAACATGTGGAATTTTGCCCCAGGAATAGACCAATAGTAAAAACATCTTTGCTTAAGGGTTTTAGAGAAGAATGAATATAAATAGAAAATGCTGGAATTGTACCTCTTTGGGCACGTAATTCTGACCTAACCTCCAGGTTACCAGACAAGAACCAAGCCTTTCCTACATGTCTGAGAATGATCAGAGAGAGGTTGTTCACAAATACTTGATGGGCTTGGGACAAGTAAAAGGGGAGAGGAATCTTTACTTACTTAGCAATGATGGAGAAAGTAGTTTAGAGAATGGAGCAATGGAAGTGGGAATTCAGGGAGTTGATTTGAAACAACTAGAAATAGAGAAGTCCTTTTCTTCTGGTTCACCTAGAAATGTTTTTGTAGTTGGGGTTTCTGAGTGAAAGGATGAGAAGTTTCTCTTAAATATTTGTCACTTATGATGATAACAAATAGAGAAAGGTGATTCTAAACATTGGGGTGCCTGGATCAAAAGAAGATTCTAAGGTGGGAGAAACAATGTAAGTAAAAAAAATGCATGGCCCTTTCCTTGCTTAAAGGAAATGGGAATTCAGGAGTGGGCTAAGATGCAGGAGGTACAGATGATGGGATGTCAGAAAAAGAAACAGCACGGTCCTCCAGGAACACCGAGATCCTATGCTGAGCTCAGAAATGCTCGCTGCTTTTGCTTTTTTTATGGTATCTTTTAATGGTAAGGAGCAGAACTCCCCAATTCAGTTTTTATTCCCCTAAGAAGTTAGTCATCAGAATGCATGGTATGGGGGAGAGAAAAGTGAGGGGAAGGATATTGGAAAAGCTGTAGAGATAGAAGGATACATGCTAGTAAAAAAAGATTGAAGCAAACAAAAATATGTAGAGAAAATGGGATTAGGGGTGATGAATTTGAATAAAAGAAATGAGTATGCACACAGCATTTGTAGGGGCCTAGGGGTAAAAAAAATCTGGGACAAAGCCAGAGTGCCTTTCCACTTTCCTGTCCCTCATTTCAGGTCACAGAGAAGTTTCTCTATCAGTCCAGAAAGAAACCATTTTTTATGTCTTGGGTTAATTAAAGACATTGCTTCCCTCAGTGTTACCAACAACTTTGGTTTATAGTTGATTTTTCGGTTATTTTTATTTCTTACTATGTCAAGAGATCTCTATGTTTTGATCTGTGGATCCTCAAAACCTAATAGAGTAGTTATTTAACAGGACACTCCTGATTCATATGTAATTCCATTTTCAAATCATCATTTGTTTGGTTATATGACTAAATTAAGAAAAAAATGAATGAATGAATGAATGAATATTTGTTTTCTCCCTAGGATGATTTAATCCAAACCAAGAGAAGGAAGATATACATAGAATTGTGCCAGAGGTTCCATCCATGCTGTACTTATAATTATTTTGCCCATTCTGAAGACACAGAAGGAGAACCATCCATATGCTTCTAAGTGGAACCACAGTAGACGAATGTCTTCTACTTTCTGGACCTGGGATTCTTCCATTTGTGTACAAAGAAAATCGAAGAGGCAGTCTCTAAGAGATTACCACGTTGTGATTCTCAAAATTGTAAGATTGTGCTTGCCAAGGAGAATGATTTTAGTAGCAATTTGTATTGCTAAGATGGGACCTAGAGATCCCTAGAGAGAGGACTAGGGCCTGAAGTCAGACTCACAAGCAGGTGTCAGAACTGCCAAGGAGAAGGATGGCAGCCACCATTCAGGCCTCACCCTGCAGAACCACACCCAGGCCTGGGCCAATCTGCTCACAGCCCCAGGAAGGGCAAGATCAGGGCTGGGCATAAAAGGAAGAGTAGGGCCAGCTGCTGCTTACATTTGCTTCTGACACAACCGTGTTCACTAGCGACCACAAACAGACACCATGGTGCATCTGACTGCTGAGGAGAAGTCTGCCGTCACCTCCCTGTGGAGCAAGGTGAACGTGGATGAAGTTGGTGGTGAGGCCCTGGGCAGGTTGGTATCCAGGTGGCAAGGCAGGCTTACAGAGAGTGAATGGAAGCTGGGCAGGTGGAAATGGCTCAGTCCCCTGGGTTTCTGACAGGCTCTGACTCCCCTGTCCTCTGTCCTCAGGCTGCTGGTTGTCTACCCCTGGACTCAGAGGTTCTTTGACTCCTTTGGGGACCTGTCCTCTCCTAATGCTATTATGAGCAACCCCAAGGTCAAGGCCCATGGCAAGAAGGTGCTGAATTCCTTTAGTGATGGCCTGAAGAATCTGGACAACCTCAAGGGCACCTTTGCTAAGCTCAGTGAGCTGCACTGTGACCAGCTGCATGTGGATCCTGAGAACTTCAAGGTGAGTCTGGGATATGCTCCGTTTTTTTCTTTTCACTTTCTAGTCTTTCACTCTGATTCTTTTCCCTACCTGTTCTCTCCCCACCTTCCTTTTTACCTTAGTATATACCATCATTGAATGCTTTTCAAAATTTACATAATTTCATATGTTTTCTTTCAGTATTCCATATTGTTTCCTTTCTCACAACCTCTTTTTTTTCATCAAGCTCTTCACTTAATTACTTATCTTTTGCCCCTCTCTTCCCGCCCCCAACTTTTTCCTCCACTTGATACCCAAATTATGCACACTAGCTCTCATCTTCTCCTTCTGCACTTGGAAAAGTCTTTCTGTCTCTCCATATGGAGATTATAAGGGCTCCTCAAAGAGTTGTCACTCCAGAGACTACAAATCATCTCAAAATTATAGAATAATTGGGCATGTGATGTGATGAGCATAGGGTGTTATATGCAACTCATGAATCATTGAAAATTACATCAAAAACTAATGATGTATTATATGTTGGCTAACTGAATTCAAATTAAAAAAAGAAAAATTGCATTTTTATAGTCAAGACTCAGTGGAAAAGGAAAGGAAAGGAAAGGAAAGGAAAAGAAATACCTGAGGATGCTAGACCAGAAGTAGAAGTAGTGCAGCAATAGTTAACTAAAAGACAGCCCAGCATCATACTAATTAATTAAGTATATATACATATATATATAATAAAAATATACAGTATACATACATATATATTTACTCATTTATGCTGATGGAGATAACCTGAAGATCAGTTTGGGCTGGAGTGTGGGCAGAAAAAAATAAATGATTGTTGGCTCAGTTTCTCAGAAGCCCAGCTTGATTTCTGTCTTAATCATGTATACATATCTATCTCTGTCTTCCCCACAGCTCCTGGGCAACGTGCTGGTGTGTGTGCTGGCTCACCACTTTGGCAAAGAATTCACCCCTCAGGTGCAGGCTGCCTATCAGAAGGTGGTGGCTGGTGTGGCCAATGCCCTGGCTCACAAATACCATTGAGATCCTGGCCTGTTTCCTGCTGACCACTGGAAGACCCTGTTTCCCTAAATTCTATCATCTGAACTGGGGGAAATAATGTCCACCACCAAGGGTATGGTTTCTGCCTAATAAAGAACCTTCAGCTCAACTTCCTGATTCATTTCACTTATTTTATTTTTTTTTGTCTGGGGGTATGGTACATCCCTGAGGGTCTACAGATAGGAAGCTCTTGTGTCTTATTCAAAGAGGTCAAGGAAATGAGAAGAGGAAAGGGACCACACATATCACTAGTGGATGACACTTCTCCCTCCAAAGCATAGGCACGGTCAAGAAGTTTTTAAATATATAGAGAATACTGGCATTACAGGGGCTCTATGGAAGACATGCAACCTAAGACACAGCCCTCAGCCTAATGCTTTGACCTATTTCCTACAATTAGTGAAAAATACGGTGCTCAAAAGCTCTTGTGTCTTATTCAAAGAGGTCAAGGAAATGAGAAGAGGAAAGGGACCATACATATCACTAGTGGATGACACTTCTCCCTCCAAAGCATAGGCACGGTCAAGAAGGTTTTAAATATATAGAGAATACTGGCATTACAGGGGCTCTATGGAAGACATGCAACCTAAGACACAGCCCTCAGCCTAATGCTTTGACCTATTTCCTACAATTAGTGAAAAATACGGTGCTCAAATAGAGACACAATGAATGATCAAGACACTGTTGTGTTTCCTTTTTCCCTACTTCCTTGCCTGCAGTGTAGCCTACCATAGCATGCTCCTTCAAGTGGGCCTACCCTAAGGGATAACCTCCCTCTTTTACTTGCCCCAAACATGTCCATAAATAATTCCTTTGCCCACCCTCCCATTTCAGACAAACTGCATGCTTGCTTATCACTTGTGATGCCTTTGCACCCTGGCCTCAATGCACTTTCCAATATTGCCTAAGAAAATTTTTCCAAACCCTTCCCCTCTTCCTATTTTTCACATTTCTTCTTATCCCTCACACTCACACTCTATGCTGTATAAACATTTCTTCCTATTTTGTACTGTCACACATGATTACCGTGCCTTGTGACTTTCATTCATAGGCAAGAAGGGAATATTTATTAATTGAAGTGGTCGGTGACTGACTGAATGAATTAATGATTATTCCCTGTCATAGAACTGTTGGAACTAGAGGACAGTCTGAACCAGGGACCCCTGGAGAGAGGTGTTTTGGTGTCAACGCCCCAGGATAGGATGAGGAAAGGGAAACACTGATCAGACATTCGCTTTCTGTTCAGAGCCTGCTGGACATCTGGCCCTATGAACAAAATGCTTTGTATATTTGGAAAGGGGCCCAAACTGAAGCCAAGACTCTGCTCCTGGGATACACAGTTTCAAATTTAACTTGGGAAAAATTGCCCCTTCGCCTTTCATAAGAAAATTGAAGAGGCACTCTTCAATTACCAGGTTGTGATTCTCAAAAATGTACTAGTACACTTGCCAAGGAGAATAATTTTAGTAAAAATCAATAGAAATAGCTGAGATGAGTCCTAGAGATCCCTAGAGAGAGAACCAGGGCCTGAAGTCAGACTCACAAGCAGGTGTCAGAACTGCCAAGGAGAGAGATGGCAGCCACCATTCAGGCCTCACCCTGCAGAACCACACCCAGGCCTGGGCCAATCTGCTCACAGCCCCAGGAAGGGCAAGATCAGGGCTGGGCATAAAAGGAAGAGTAGGGCCAGCTGCTGCTTACATTTGCTTCTGACACAACCGTGTTCACTAGCGACCACAAACAGACATCATGGTGCATCTGACTGCTGAGGAGAAGTCTGCCGTCACCTCCCTGTGGGGCAAAGTGAAGGTGGATGAAGTTGGTGGTGAAGCCCTGGGCAGGTTGGTATCCAGGTAGCAAGGCAGGCTTATGGAGATTGAATGGAATCTTGACAGGCAGAGATGGGTAGACCCCTGGGTTTCTGACAGGCTCTGACTCCCCTGTCCTCTGTGCTGTTTTCACCCCTCAGGCTGCTGGTTGTCTACCCCTGGACTCAGAGGTTCTTTGACTCCTTTGGGGACCTGTCCTCTCCTAATGCTATTATGAGCAACCCCAAGGTCAAGGCCCATGGCAAGAAGGTGCTGAATTCCTTTAGTGATGGCCTGAAGAATCTGGACAACCTCAAGGGCACCTTTGCTAAGCTCAGTGAGCTGCACTGTGACCAGCTGCATGTGGATCCCGAGAACTTCAAGGTGAGTCTGTGGGACCCTCAATATTCTCCTTCATCTTCCTTTTTAAGGTCAAGCTCATGGTGTCCAGAAAGGGTATGGGTGTTAGGTGCTTTCTAGAGGGTGAAGGAGGTATTCTAATAGCATCAGTATGGACTCCTCAGGACTGTTTTTATTTCTTTCACCCTCTTGCTCACAGTAGTTTCTTCTTGTTCTCTGCAATGTGTTTTCTTTATTGTTTTGATTAAAGTTTTGAGTGTTTATTTAAAAAGTACATTTAATCCATTCCAAATCATTTTTTTTCTAATACTTTTTCCCCTTGTCTCTTCCTTTGAGAGCAAAGAGGATAAAATCTGATTGCTTCTTTGTATAGTTGGAAAGAATAGCCATGATATTTTAAGTTCTGAATTAAGGGAGGAGAGAAACATTTCTAAATGTAAAATCAGGCTGATATGGTTGAAATCACATAGAGAGTAACATCTAAGATCTAGCTATCTTTCTGCTTATATTCTAGGGGCACAGCTTGGGGCTGTGGATGGGGCTGGAATATGCTGAGTCTCAGCTGGGTCTGTCTGCTAACCATGCACATGTCTCTTGTCTCTTCCCCACAGCTCCTGGGCAATGTGCTGGTGTGTGTGCTGGCCCGCCACTTTGGCAAGGAATTCACCCCACAGATGCAGGGTGCCTTTCAGAAGGTGGTAGCTGGTGTGGCCAATGCCCTGGCCCACAAATACCACTGAGCTCCCTTTCCTGCTTTCCAGGAAATGTCCCTTGGTTCCCAGAACCTAATACCTGAACATGGGGAAATTGTGAAGTGCTTTGAGCACCTGGCTCCTGCCTAATAAAGAACATTTCTTTTCATTGCACTGGTGTATTTAAATTATTCCTGCATCTCTCACTGGAGTTGTTACAGGGCATGGGAGGACAAGGCCTTTAAGACATAAAGAAATGAGGGGATAGTTCAGATCTTGGGAAAATATATCTATATTTCAGACTCCATGAAAAGAGAGGTGGTAAATAGCTAAGTATGTGAGAAACAGACCCTGCTGCCAATTTTAACTTTCCCTTAGAAAAGGATTCAAGTTGAGGCTTGATTTGGGGGTTAGATTTTTCATATGCTTTATTTAAATCAAGTCTTTATTTAGCTTTCCTTATAAATATCCTCCCTCTTCTCAGTTGTCCAGAAGCTCATAACCCTCAATCCACTAAGTTCATCTGCCTGAAGACACCACTGTTCCTCTCTGATTTTCCTTCATGTTTTGCTGTCTCATTACTTGTCCTCCCCATCACTCTTATCCTGGTTCCCTCCATCCTCTTACAGCAGAGACCCACATGAAGGTCCCAAAGGGGAGAACGAGTTTCACTGCCTCTTCCTTAGTGCCTTTCATGGTCTGCATTAGAAGGAAGCAACTGGTAATATTTTGTTCAATATATGACTAAGGCAAATGTGAAAAGGAGCTTCTGGTGGCTTTATATTCACTGCTGTCTTGCAATGTTATCATGAGTTTGTGGCATCCTCTTCTTCTGAGGATGCTTTAGCATGCATAACCAGGAAGTGATTGGAGGCCTGCTCCCACCTCCTCCCCTTTTTGATGTCTCTGATGCCTAGACCTTTCTAGTTATTAGCACGGTGTTACCAATAGCAACATACCCTGATTTTATTACCTCAGTCAATGACCACCTATATGGGTGCTGGATGCTGGAAATAAAATGACTTTGAAGTGGTCCTTGTCCCCTCACATATTCTAATTCTGAATATAGTTAGGAAGATCATAAAAGTATTGCCACTAATAAGGAAATTAATTGATTAAATTAATATGCAAACAAGCTTCATCTAAACACAGAATGGAGATGAATACAAGGTGTCTTTATAAATACATAAATGAGAATTCTCTAAGCCTTCAGGATCAGAGGAGCTGGAAGTGGGCCTTGGTGATAACTTTGGTCATCCTCTGAAGGGGTCCTCACATTTGATATTGACCTGAGTGTTAGGACTTTGCGTGCAGAGAGACCATAGAAGAGCAGAGGTCCTGTAGATCTGGATACAGTGAGGATTGGTATTGATAGATGAAGACATAAAAGTAAAGTGGAAGGAAGAGTCATGCAAGCATCTAAGAGAAAGCAGACTACACATGCCAGCTGGGCATCAGAATGAGGTGGGGGAATGGGCAGGCAGGGACGTGGATGGTCCAGGAGGTCAATGAAGGGCCTGAGGATGGATGGGAAACACTAATAATATTAAATAATATTAAATGGCCCAGATTCTATAATTGGTGAGGATTCTATTAGCAGAGCACTAAGTTTAAGCAGAATTGTGCAAAATTATTTAAGCTAAAGATGGATTTATTATGGAGACAAACTCATCAGATATGTAACTCCAGTTTTCACTTGTACTGCTAGGTTTTACCTCTTACCATCCAAATTCTCAAGGGTCCCCTCCCTGCTTTTGCTTCTTTTAATTACTAGTATTATAAAAAATGTAACATCAAGATTGGGAAAGGATCAGTAGACATTACTAATTAACAAATCAATAAGCACCACTTTATAGCTATTAGGCCAGGGGTATAGTGTCTCCAAGAGATAAATGCCCAGCTCTGACAAAACTTGGTATTATCTGGCTGGTTCTATTCCAGTACTAACATTAGCTGGAGGTAGAGAAGGATGAAAGAGAGGGACAGAGTACACAGCATGTGTATGTCATTTGTAGAGATTACTATTCTTGTTTGAAAGTCATGTAGCCTCATGGACAGGAGTCTCTCACATTAATAGCCATCAAATAGTACAGAACAATCTCAGGTATTCACATTCATAAAATGGGTAAGGGCCAGAGTTGCTCCAAAATTACTCTTCCTTCTGCAGTTTCCTTTATAAAGTTACTGATTTCTCTTCTAGGACTGATTTTTTATTTTCTGATTGTTTGTCTCTGGGTGCTATTAAAATG